AAAAACTGTAAACACATAAACACTTACTATGTCCGACTGTCCCCGAATATCTTCAAAAAGTTGCTGGTATTTTAGAGCTGGAGTTTTGCCCTTAGATAAAATAAGTTTCTTCAGTGCCTGAGCTAATTCTTCTTTCCGTTTCCGAGACGTGGCACTCATTCCTGATTAAAAAAAAAAAATAAAATAAATCAATGAAAATATTTTTCTGTTAGAAATCAGTAAAAATATTTCTGTTAGGAAGTGAAATGCTTCATATTCTCATAAATATTCCTTCAGTAGTATCACCAAGAAAGGTAAGGGGACAGTTGTTGAATGTCACAACACACTCAAAAGCACAAGGAGATGTTTCTATAAACTAGTGGCAGCTACCGAGAACTGAAAAGACAGTCTACATAATCTGCCTAACAATAGTCATCACTTACTGAGAAACGAACTGTGGCGCGATGGCACTCTGGTAACCCCAGCCTTGGGAGCTCGAGGCAGGAGCAAGTTTGAGGCCAACCTGGGCCACACAGTGAGTGCAAGGGTAGCCTGAGCTGCACGGCACGGTCTTGTACTCCGAGACTCAACTGACTCTCCCTCCTCAGCTTCTCACGCAGTGGGGACGACAGCTGTACCCCGCTGCGTCCACATCCGGTGCTGAGGCAGCGCTCAGGATCCCCAGCTTGTTATACATTTTATTGTTCATTCATTAGGAAATGGATGGGGCAACTTTCATGAGATTACCAAAGTGACCCTGATCCAAAATGGTAAAGAACTACTTAGACATTTAAATGATTTCCAAAAGGTTTTTTGTTGAACGCAACAAACCTGCAGTGAGAACACAAACCTGTAGTGAGAATAGATATGTCCACGATGCCGGTCCGGGGGTCAGTCGCAGACTGCTTCAGAGCCTCCCTGTGGAGGCGCTTTGCCTCTTCCACATCAATTGCTTCAACTTTGTTTGAAAATCGGACTTTAGCATGGGCTTCTGCTAAACGAATTAAGGACTCCAGCTGCCGAGGGTACGCGGACACCATTCCTCGGCTACTGCCAATCTTTCTCATGTCCACATAAGCCTAGTACAGGTGGAGAGAAAAGCGAAACACCTGCTGACAACAGCCCTGGCTTTGTGGTCACACCTGGAACAGCTAGGGTTCTGTTACATGAACAATTCCTGGCTGGCTCCCCCGGGAAGTCAGGGAAGTCACAGCTTAGATCAAGGCCTTGGCTCTGAGCTCACGAAGTATGGAGACGGACGCACTTGTGTGCACACCCAGAACAAGGGGCTCCCCAAGGATTCCGCTAGCACTGTGCAGCTCTGGTGGGAAATGTGCTGGCAGGAGGCACTGAGAAGACTTCTGGGAGAAGGTGGGGTCTAGCACAGCTGTGAACAATACGTGGCAGAGGATGGGGGCACGGCTCACGGAGTAAGAAGTAGGTGGGAGCAGAGTACAGGATGACTTGGGGGCCCATATGAAAAAGGCACTTGGGCACCAATCCTGATGTACACCAGGGCTAGGGATCTGGTTAATAAAACATGAAGAGGATTATGAGGATAATGTTACAAAATATTTTCTTTTTCTTTTTTTACAAAATATTTTCATATATGACATAATTTCATTAAACTTTAAAAATTTTATCAACTGTACCCTTCATTTGAGCATTTTTGGTAACTGAGGATATAAAGCCAACTGAACCCTGGGAACCTTCCTATGATCAAACACCGAAACAACCTAAGGTGTGCCATGTATGCGCCACTGTGCACACACAAGGATGCTGAAAAAGAGGAGCCTACAATACTTTTCACTCATTTCAATTTTTACAAATAAGCAAATGAAGCTTAGGGAGACGGATAACTTGTTCAGTGATGAAGCTCCTAAGCGGCATCGTCTGTATCTGAACTCCCGTCTTCTGACCTTAAATTCATGATGCTTGTATTTAAACACAAAAAGTTTGCATACTATCAACATAATTCCTCCCCTTTTATAACATTTGGAAAAGCTGATTTTGTAACTTGGAAGAAAACAGTATTGCCAGGGAGACAGCCTGCCTGGCAAGTGCAGGGTCCTAAGTTCGATTCCCCAGTACAAAACAAACAAAAAACCAAAACCAAACCAAACCAAACCAAACCAAAAAAAAAAAAGCACAAAAAACCCAGTAATTAATGGAAAATGTACTATTTTTTTGAGACAGGATCTCTAGATAGTTTTAGGCTTGACCTCACTCTAGTCCAGACCGGCCTTGAACTCATGATCTTCCTGCCTCAGCCTCCTGAGTGCTGGGATGACTGCATGCATCACCATACTCAGCTATTACTCTTATAAAAAAAATAACCATTTAAGGGGGATGAGCTGCTAGGTCTACTCATGCTTTTTGTGGCAGGCTCAGCGGAACCTTCTGTGAGGCCTGGTTACCTCAATGAGAGCCTGGCTGGCCTCCTCGCTGAGCCGGGGCATGATGGTGCTGTGAGCATAAGCAATGTAGTCCTTTAGCACTGCCATGTCCAAGAACTCCTCCTCCATCTGCTCCTCACTCTGGTAGTACAGCGAGACCAGGTGATGGGCCAGACGCCTGTCGTACGCCTCATCCTGAGGGTCCAGCATGAGGAAGATCAGATCAAACCTGAGCAAATGGAGGAAAGACACGTCTTTGTAGTCGGCACACCAACATACCTAGGAAAAGAACTTAAAGGCTGTGCTGTCTCCTGAGGACCATCCAGAAGAACAGCTTCCAGTCTGCCAAAGGCTTGGTTGGTCAAATTCATCCCATGCTACCCCCTGCTCTT